AGGCCCTGGCACAGGGTGCCCAGAGAAGCTGTGGCTGCCCCTGGATCCCTGGCAGTGTCCAAGGCCAGGCTGAACTGGGCTTGAAGAACCCTAGGGTAGTGGAAGGTCCCTGCCYATGGCTGGGTGTGTCACTGGTTGGCTTTAAGGGTCACTCCCATGCAAACCATTCTGGGATGACTCTAGGAAGTCACATTTCCCCCTCATTCAGCCCAACTTKATTCATTGGTTTCTGCCAAGTGCTGGGTAGTGCAGGATCTGCTGAGCCCTCAGCATCAGCCCCATTCCACCTTGAACCCTAAATCAGCCCTTTCTACGAAGCCAATATTGCATTGCYCTGCTCTCCCTACTGCAGATCCCTGGTTTCTCACTATCCCTCACCTGTCCTGCTCCAGCCTTGTTGCCCTGAGCTCTGCCCAGTGACACAGCACGGTGTAAAGGTGTTCCCAGAGCCGAGGCAGCCAGCAGGAGCAGGACCTGTGTCAGGCTCCATCCCTGCTGTCGCTGCAGGGCTGCTTTCCACTGGAATCAGCAGAGCATGAGGACAGGACGGGTGTGCTCTGACAAACACCATGTGCATCCTGCCAGCAATGAGCAGGGACTAAGGAACTCCCTGCAGCAGGCAGCAGCTAGAGCTGACAGCTCTGCAAGCAGTCTTAAACCTCCTGTCCCAGAACCCTCCTCTGTTTTACCTTCCTGAGAACCAGCTCTGAGGCTCGATGCTCCAGCACCACTGCTTTGAGCTTTGCTCTGAGGCGCAGGACATCCTCCTCCAGCTTGGCACACCTGATCTGGGAGGCTTCCTCATCCAGTTTTCTCTGCTTTTCCCCCTCCTTCATGATCTGCTGGATTTCAGCCTCGCATTCCTTGGACAGATTTTCCATGCTGATTTTGAGGTTTTCAATAATTTTGTCCTTCTTGTTAACCTAGGCCAGAAAACAAGAGGAATACCCCTGGAAAATGCCACTGAAGTGTCAGGTGGGCCGAAAAAACCCTTGCAAAGGTGGAGGAGATCCAAGAAGGGACCCTCAGGTGCCTGCTCAGGTAGCACCAAGGACCTGCCATTGCCACCGAGGGAAGAGTTAGATTTACACAGGAGCTTTGGAAACCTTCCCCCAGCTCCTGTTAGCAAAGGTACAGAGTGAACAAACCACTCTGAGCCCCACTGGCACTGCCACCTGAGGAGCAGCCAAACCAGAGTCCCTGGGGCAGTCCCGTGGTTCTCTCAAGGGCTGGATCATGCTCTGAATGACTGGGGGACACGGCTCAGTGAGGAAATCCCCAGCTGGGATCAGTGAAACAGTTTTATTCACTGTGTYCTGGACAAGCTGCCAAATTGCACATAAAAATCTCAAGTGTCTCGATTCCTGGAACTCCAAGGAGCAGAGAGAAGGCAGGCCCTTGGTTCTGCCAGAACCATCCAGTGGAGCAAGCACAGGACAAAACCTTCTCAGGCCAGCCTTACTGCAGGGAGGAGAAAGAGAAGCACAGGTAGAAAACAAAGGATTGTTGTCAGGAGCTCTGGGCTTGGATGTTAGCACAGCCACAGGCTGGGTAAGTGCCTGGGAAGTGCCCAGTCAATTATCTGCACCTTAGCTGCAGATAAAATTAAAGATTCATGTAATTCATATAATCACTGATTAATCACAAATGCTCCATGGCAGCTGTTAAGAGTCRGGAGTCACAGAAATGTTGGTTTTAAGCAAGAGTGAAGACAGACTAGATATTAAAAATGGATTTTAATCAGAGYGATCTCTCCCTGTAATGACTTTTCATTCTTTCAGCAGCAGGGAGTGAAGCAGCTGGCACTGTCACCCTGCCAGGATACCACCACAGCAGTTTGTGCTGCCACTCCTCTGGAACTCGTGCATTTACATTGTTTTAGTTGGCTAGTGACAACAAGTTCAAAACATGACAAATTCAAATTAAAAAAAAAAAAAACATGCAATAAGCATTTTTCATTACTTTACAATAGAAACAGCATCTTTAAGTTTACGATCTGCTTTTGAAATTATTTCTGGAACCTGCTCTTTAGGAACTGCAATAAAGGGATCAGTCTTAGTTCCCAAAGTTTTGCTCCAGTAACATTTTGTCAGAAAACACATTCCCACAAGATCATACCTCTTCATCTCGAGTCTGGATGGCTTCTGTCAGCTCTGCCTGTAGAGCTGAGATCGTTCCCATGTTTTTATTAAGCTGGAGGGTCGTCTCTTTCATGAATTGAACCTTTTGCTTCTCTTCATCAGGACTGGTCAGAAGCCTCTCAAGCGTGAGATCCCGGAACTCCATAAACGCTTTGATAAACACATCAGCTGCTGACTGTCTCACCCAAACTTCATATTTCAGTCCATGGTAAAGCAAAGGGTTGGCCAGGATGAGCCTCAGAATGTTTCTCATGGAACATTTCAGGTGTTGTTCCACAGCTTTCCTGCTCTCCTCATCCCCCGGGCTGGTGAGCAAGTGCTGGATTTCCATTGAGAGCTTTTGATGCTCCACAAGGCTTCTCGTGATTTCAGGTCCCAGCATCCTTGAAAACCTCTCCAGGGAGTGAATAACCCGTGGGATCAACCTGGTGATCTCCAACTTGGCGATGGTCTCATCCAGGACAGTTAGGATTCTTTCTGTCTCTGTGCAGTCAGGCTTTAACTGGCATGGATCTAACCACTTCATGATACCTAATGGGACCCCTGCCTTCCCTGGAGTTGCCATGCTCTTCATCRCAGCTCTTTACTTCACAAGGATTCTTGGAATGCAGCTGGATCCCCTCTTGCGATGGATTCAGTTAAACACCTGTGGGCTGAGTAGTTTGAGGTYTAGAAAAGACACAGCAGCTCTTCACAAGATGAGGGTCCAGAAGAAAATCAAAGTCCCTGTGCTGCTGCTGTCTCCTAATTTCCCTGCTTGTATTTTCTCTCCAAAACGAAAACACGGTGACAGCATTAGAGAAACAATGTAATTTGGGAAAATATGAGCATTCCAGACTACACTGGAGTTGTCTCTGGGTCTGAGCGTGGGATCAGAACATGGGGATCAGAACATAGGGTCATGGATTAGAGCTTCTCTGACCCAAAACGGTTGTCAGACACCTGTGGGAAGGGGGCGATGGATTCTTGGCTTTGAAGGGTGGTAGGGAAAAAGCTCCCAACAACTTCTGAGTAGAGAAGAGCTGAGGTGGAGCAGCACAAACTGCAGCTCTGCAGTCCCCAGAAGGGTGTGGAGAGGGGCTTGAAGGATCCTGGGGCCACCTCGGTGGGAAGGGCAGGGTTCCCAGTGAAAAACTTCTATGGGAAACCACTACCCTTCCAAGCCTGGCACTGCCAGAGGGATGGGATGCGAGAGGGAGAGGGGATCTGGCAGGGCTGGCAGGGACGGGGGCAAGAGGAGGAAGCAGGGAGGAGGCAGGGAGGAGACAGGGGGCAGCTGGAGGGGGGAGCGCGGACAGGGAATGAAGTGTCCCCTCCGTGTGGGTTTGGGACAGCAGTAGGACCCAGGGACTGGGGGTCAGTGAGAGGCCGGGRGGGTGATTGCCCGTGGGGAGGATCCCCGCGTGAGGGGCGGGCGGCTCGGGGGGCCGGGGTGGGACGATCCGAGGGACCTGTGGGATAAGCGGCCCCGGAGCATCCCGGGGGTGGGACGGGGTGTCTATGGAGTCGGTTACTGGGGCATGACAGCCCCGGCAGCGCAGTTAGTTCTGATGCCGGTCCCGCTCTCGTTCCCGGTCCTGATCCCGATCCCGATCCCGATCCCGATCCCGATCCCGATTCCGATCCCGATCCCGATCCCGCCGCCGGTGCCTCTCGTTGCCAGGCGACCCGAGGGGCGGGGCCTTTCCGGCGGTTCACAGCGAGCTGCGTTGGCCCCGCCCCCGTTCAGGCCCCGCCTGTCAGCGGCGCCCATTGCTTGATTGGCAGCGCCGCTGGCCAATGAGGAACCGCCTGCCGCCCAGTGACCGGGGTTGGGGCCTCATCATGGCGGCTGCGGGGGCTGTGACAGGAGAGGGCGGGAGACCCGGGGTGTGTGGTTCTCTCCGGGCTTTTCAGTCCTATGTTCCTGAGAGCTCGACTAGCGACCCGGAAAATATTTGTACTTCCAAAGTCACGTCTGCCAGGCACGGGTCAGTCCAGTGGGTCCAGGAGCCCCGAAGGGGCTGTCTTGAAACATCAGAACACAACAGAATTCCCCTGAGATTCACTGTTAATGTGACTGGTACAGAGTCATAAAAGTGATAACGTCAGCTGATGAAGATGCTGATGTTGTACAGGCTGAGTTAATTGATTACCAGTGAGTTAATGATGCTTGTGAAGAACATGATGGCCCTTGAATGCTGCACTGCAGCCATGCCCTCACCCTCTGCCCAGGCAGTGACACGGATGCCCTCAGGASAGGAGGATTTGTTTCCAGCAGGAAACATGGCAAAATGCTGGTCCATGCTCCCAGCGATGCCAGCTCTGTCCCTGCCAGGAGCTGGTGTAGAGCAGYAGTGGGGTGGCCATACCTTCACAGGCAGCCTTGTCCAGGGTTCCAGTCTTTCCTGGCCTGAGCAGCACCTTTATTTCTGTGCAGGGATTGTCCAAGTCCATGAATGAATCTGCAGTGCTAGCAACTCACCCGTTCCCAACTGCTTCCCTACACAAAGCAAAAGAGGGGCTGGCAGGGGGAGATGTAGTGGGACCACCAGGGCTGGGCTTTCTGGCCTGGCACTGGTGAGGATGGATGAGGGACACTGGCCCTACTTGCCCAACTGCTCCCTGACTCCCCTGAAAGGCTGCCACATGCCCTGCAGCTCTTTTAGCAATTAAATCAATCATGAAAATAATGTATTTTTCTTTCCAAAGCTGAGAGTGTCCTGGTTGCTTTGTTTGAAATGGGCCACTGCTCTCCAAGAAATGCAGACTTGGACAKCCTGACAGCCATGATCTGGAGATGGGATCAAATGCTCAGTGAGTGTTGCTGGAGTCCTCTGTGTCCTGGTGTGCACAGCCCACTCAAAGGAACAGCAAGTCCTTGGGACATCCAGGGAGAGAGAAGGGAAAGGGTGGACCATGGGTCACATCCAAACCTCCTCTTAAGTAGGGAAGACTGTGGATCACTGCTGCTCCCTCCTGGATCCGGGTAATTAYAGACATTCCCATCTTGCAGGAGGAGATGGGGGTGATGACACATGCCCAGAGCAGCCCCGACTCGTCCTGCAGCTCCACACACCACTCCGGGCCAGCAGCAGCTCTTCAGCCAGAAAGAAAAACAGGTCAGTCTGGGAGCTGGATGAAACATCAMCAAACCTGCGTCAATCCCACCTCATCCAGGATGTAGAAAAACCTCAGATCCATCCTCAAACAATTCCCTACATCCAAACCCACCAGACTGCATCACTGCCTGAGTCAGAGGTGCCCAAAAATCCAACTATGTGCAYAGGGGAGCAGGGCAGGGCATGTCCAAGCAGGGAAGGGAGATCCAGGAGCCCCTGGGTGCTGGGACAGCCTGGGCACACCGCCCCCCACAATTTGAGCCCAGCTGTGTTTCAACAGCAGGACTTTGTGACAGACACCTGAACACCAGAGACTTCCCTGGCCCCAGCTGGCTGCACCCAAATCCCTGCCCAGGTGCTGAATCTGACTCCTCTACAGCAATGGGAAGCACAGCTCAGAGYGTGGGAGTTGGCTGGCCCATCCACTTGGAAAACCATAATCACCCCAGCTTGGTTTGCCCAAATAATTTCCCTGTTCCTGCTGCCACCCACCCCTGTGTGGGATCTGGGAAGGGACATCAAGGAGGGGGATGATTTAAACTGATTGTGAAATGATGGTGGAAGAGCAGAAGCATTCAATGAAGCTTTGTTCAGGGCAACAGCACCCCAACTTGTCACTGCAGGGACAGTCCCCTCCTGCCACCATCCTTTGGCTGCAGCCTTGCATTGTGCTCTACTGGGAACRGGGAGCTCTGGCACCACACCAAGCCCTGGAGGAATCCACAGGGCCAACTGATCCCTGACCACATCCCGCCTGCAGCTTTGGCTGCTGTTCCCTCATTCCCATGTCATGCTGTCAGKGGGATGACGGTGTCTGTATCCTGAACAAGTGGGATGGAGTTTGCATTTCCCTGGCCCTCAGAGCCTGTCAGAAGGGCCCAGGCAGGGCACAGAGAAACAAGGGAGTCCTTGCAGTTTGCTGAAGGGATGAATGTAGTGGGGTAAGCTCTGAGCAAAAAGACCCAATAGAGGGAAGATGGGAGGGCTGGAGGTGCTGGGAAGGCTCTGAGAGCACCAGGCTGGAGCTGGGTGACAGGAGCAGGAATGGAGAGGGACACAGCCAGCAGTGGGCAGCTGTGGCACAGGAAGATGTCCCTGGGGCTGTCAGGGCGCAGAGACCAGAATGTGTGTTTGGTCAGACTCTGTTTACTGAGGCCAAACCTCAAATCCTGCGTCCAGTTCTGGGCCCTTTATGACAAGAAAGACCTTGAGGTACTGGAGCATGTCCAAGAAGGGAACAGAGCTGGCAAAGGGGCTCAGCCTGGAGCAAAGGAGGCTCTGGGGGGACCTTGTGGCTCTGCACAACTCCCTGACAGGAGGGGACAGCCGGGGGGGTCAGGCTCTGCTCCAGGGAACAGGGACAGGAGGAGAGGGAACGGCCTCAGGCTGGGCCAGGAGAGGGGCAGGGGGGATTTGGGAACATTTCTTCACTGAAAGTGTGGTCAGACCACTGGCACAGCTGCCCAGGGCAGGGGTGGAGTCCCCATCCCATGAAGGGATTTAACAGTGCATGTGGCACTTGGGGACATGGGTCAGCAGTGGYCTTGGCAGTGCTGGGAGAACAGTTGGACTTGATGCTCTCAGAAGGCTTTTCCAACTTTAATGATTCTGTGATTTCTGTGAGCAGCAAGTCAAACCCTTCATCTCCCAGGCAAAAGCCAGCTGCTTCCTGGCTTTGCCAAGTGGGAACACCCCAGGCTCCATCAGCACCCTCACCCAGCCCCTGCAGAGCCAGGCCCAGGGTGTGCCAACACCCCCAGCCTGTCCTGGGGAACGCGCCAGCTCCAGCAGCTCCAGGGGCTTCAAGACCACAGTGCTGGGGAGGTGGCAAGGACAGGGTGAACATCACCCCAGGTCTGGGGCTCTTCATCCCAGGGGTGCTGCTTCCTGCCAGGGTGGACTCTGCCATGGGAACACTGGGATCAAGGACAGCTCTGAGCTAGGGGACYGGAGGAACTGGTGACAGGCTTCTTCCAGCATGGRGAGGACAGGGAGGGGCTCAGGGGCYGAGCTCTKTAACCTCCACACAGAGGAGCTCTGTTAGAGCCCTGCAGCCCCTCTGTTTCCATGGCAAGGAGGGGGACACATGCCYGCTCCCCCTGGGGCACTGCTGCGTGCCAGGAACCACTTGGGGACACCTGCAGTGTGCAGAGTGGGTCCTGCTTGGTTCTAAACCAGTCCCTCTCCCACAGCATCTTCCCACAAACAAAACCCCACGGATGTCCAGCACAGGTGACAACCTCTAGGCTCCTCTCTAAAAACTTCTGGCATTATTTGCTTTTTGGCATTTCACTGTTATTCTTCTCAGTACATCTCTTCCTGGGTCTCAGTCACCATACCAACTGGTGTAGGTGGACACCAGCCTGGCACTGGTGCCAGCATGACCAGAGATGTTCCTGTGTGTCCTGTCCAGCAGCTGTCAGTRAATYGCRRAATGGTTTGGGTTGGAAGGGACCCTAAAGATCATCCAGKTCATCTGGTGAACAGCAAATCCCCATTTGCCTGGAGAAACCCAGCAGGCAAAAACTGAGGTCAAGAAGGAAGGGTCTGACTATGGRGAGAAAGTGTGCAGGGCACATTTATCACAGCTGGGAGGAGGAAGGACAAGAAGAAGATTCCTTAAATACTCAGAAAAGCTAGACTTGAGAGATTTGTGGTTTGAAGCCAGCCCCTGGTTTTCTATGCAGTGTTTCTAGAGCCTTGCAGCACCTGAATCGTGTCTATGGAGAGGTTAGGGAAAAGTTTTATGCTTCTTTTAAAAAATAGTCTTGCAGTAAATGAAGAATTGCCAGCACCTAAAGATTCCTGATTTTTGAGCCATGGGTTGTGACTTACCTGTGCTGTCCTGGGGTCTGAGCTGTGCCCTTCCCACTTCTGAGAATATTCCACATTTCCCAGTTTTGAGAATTCCCTTCAGAAATCCCAGCTGAGGGACACAGAGTGAAGATACTGAGCATTTTTCAGTCCAGCGAAGAAAATGCTTGATTGAAGACATGACAGCAATCTTCCAAGGTCCAATTCCAATTGAATTCGAGGTCACTGGGAAGCATAAAAAATGAGCAACTTTTTTCAAGCAGAAAAGGTTTATGTTTATGAAATCCAATGTTGTAACAGTGGCTGAAAAACCAGGACACAGAAATCATGGAATATCCTGAGTTAGAGGGGACCCACAAGGATCATCCAGTCCAGCTCCTGGCCCTACACAGACACCCCTACAATCCSACCCTGTGCATCCCTGGGAGTGGTGTCCAAATKTTCCTGGAGTTCTGGCAACCTCTGGACTGGGACCATTCCCTGGAAARCCTGGGCAGTGCCCAGCCACCCCCAATGCACAAGCCAAGGAAAAACTCCATCCCTTTCACATCCCTTTCCCACTCCCTCCCAGGAAAACAATTCCCTGAAGAGGTGTTCCACTCCTGCAGCTGCYCCACTGCTCCCTCCCAGCCCAGGCTCTCCAACTGCCCCATTTCCATCGATTGAAAAGGGCAGCAACACCCGAGAGCTCGTGGGATTGTCCTGGTTTATTGATTGACTTTCCTAGAGTTTCTTCCTAAAGTATGGCTCTGGAAGCCGTGGCCGGAGCCAGGGTACAGCCTGCAGGAGGAGCTCTCTAGACGTRTTACTTCTTGGTTACTTTTCTGTCGGCTTTTCCTGCCTCTTTCGAGGGCTTCATTTGATTCGCAGGCAAGCGGGAGGTGCGGCCTGACACTTTCGCACTCCTGCGA